GGAACGTACGTCATTTGTCAATTGATCAATTGTCTGTGACCTCGCCATTATCTATATGTGACCAAGATCTCAATGTGTGACCTGAATGTTGACATCTCAACTGATTGTTGCATGTGGCCTAATTGTTGACAGTATTTATTTATACATCTGCGACCGTACGCATTATGAACAACGATGCCTACATTTGACTAATATGTCAAATGTGACTATGGCTTACATGGTTTGTGGCTTGAATGCACAACAAAAATGTATGCCAGTAATTGGTTTGTATCATGATTTGAATATAGAACATGATACTCATGGCATGTGACCTACGTGACTTGAATGCACAGTAATTGGCTTTATTGTGTAACAATGCATACCTACGTGACCTCATTCAGTTGAATATAGAATATGATACTCATGGCATGTGACCATGATAATCATCTGTGAGTAAGTTCTGTTGTAGCATTACACATGCCTGTGACCATATTATTTCTGGTTATACAACAATGTTAATCTATCTGTAGCCAGAGTACACAGTTGCATACATCTAATTGTGTGTGATTTCCCTACATTTACTTAACATTGGGTCTTTCTAAACAATTTTGTGCAGGATTGGCAATATATCATACCGAAGGAACGATGGTTCCCAGGTAAGATTACAACATTAGTCAGCAAGGATGTACTTTCAAGTATCCAAGCAAAATTATCTGACCGACAGAAGCTCATTATGAAGGGAACATGCTTTGAGCATTTCCTCGACTGTCATGAAATTGTGGTACAACCGCAATTAATTCACCACTTCCTCTTGCGGCAGGTCCAACAACCTAATCCTAAAGAGTTGTGGTTTTTAGTTGCTGGGCGTTATGTTAGATTCTCTATATCTGAGTTTTGCATAGTCACGGGGCTGAGATGTTTAGGCGATAGTGACACGGGCATTTTTGAAAGTAGATAGTCACAACTGAAGAATAAGTACTTTTCCCAAGTCGATATCGTGACACATGAAGATGTGAAGTCCACATTCATATCTGCTTGCCAAATGCCTGATCTCGATCTTGTTGAAACTCTCCCGGATCATGATGTGGCACTCATTGGTATCCTGTACTTCATTACTGCATACTTATTTCCTAGAGATTATAAGACACTGGTTGACCATTACTTGTTCACGCTTGTTGAGGACTTCCCCGCGCTGAACAGTTTTCCATGGGGAAGGTTACTGTTTGAGATTACTTTGAGTTCTTTAAAAGATGCATTGAGTCGACAAACCGCACATTATAGGCTACGAGGTATGTTGGTAGCCTTTCAAGCATGGATCTACGAAACCTTCCCTGACCTAGATGAAGTTATTGTCACAAGGGTATCGAGGACGCACCCTCGAATCAATAACTGGAATGCAAATGAGCAACCTCCTGCATCTAAGTTGGAGGAGCTGGGCTGCTTCAACAAGCCTAATGTAATGTTTCAGTAATCCATATTCTGCTGATAGTGGAACATATGGTAAACTTATTGATTCTCTAATCTTTTATTGTAATGCAATGCAGATTGAAATATGTGATCTGATGCCTACTGAAGCTGAAATGGCAATGCCATACATGGATGGCATGCAGCATAACAAAACAATTCAACCAGAGTTTTCTCAGAGCAGCCGTCGAAAGGAAAGCACGAAGGGAAAGTCTGTTGATCCTTCACACATGAGTGAGAAATCAGTGCCTTTGGTAACGGACACTAGTGTTAGAAAGGCTCACATTACAAATGGTGATGACGATTTTGTGGATCCTCCACGACGATGTGAGGGGCTATCCCATCAAGAAACACCCCGTGCTGATGAAGGCCCTTCAGGTCCCCAACTTTCTCCAAATGAAGAACAACATCATGGGATCCAAGGGAGTGCTGTAAGATTATTTTTATTTCTATTCAATTGTTTTCAAATTGTGGTCACAGTTCACTTAGTACTGGTCACAGTTCAATTCTCATGGTCACAGGCATCTTTTATAAGGTCACATTTAACTATTTATCTTAATCATGTTTATAGGTGCTTCACATTTGAATGCGCAACTTTCAGAACTTAAGTCACAGAATAAAGTATTAACCGTGGAGATGGACACCATCAAGTCACAGATGTCGAGCCTCAACTCTGATCAGGCAAAAAAGATGTCTGAAATCATCCTAATACAAGGACAGTTAAAACATGAGATGATCGAGATTAGGACGAACATGCAATTCTTGTCTGAACCCGTGACTGCAATGATCTCAAGCTCCATGGATGAGATATTAAGGCGATTCAATAATAGTAAAGGTTGTCCAGTTAATGAGTATGAAGACACGGAAGCTGCTGTCGAAGGATTCGAGAAGATCGACGAGGTAGGTACATGATATGTTCAATCTATCTATCACTGAACATAGTTACAGATTTCATGTCTGAAATTCTCCAATTTTACATACGGGTGGAAAAACTGCAACCTGTTGTCGACAGGAAAGGGAAGGGGAAGGTCGACCCAACTGAAGATGTTGCCTTTCCAAGTAGTCTTGAACCGCCATCATTTGACCTGGGTATCGAATACACACAATCGGATGATTTGGAGTCTTTAGAAATTCAAAAGCAGGTAGATGCTGTCATATTTGATGTGATCAAAGCATCCCAAAATGTTGATGAAGAGGTATTCAAATTATTTTTTTTTAGTGTAATATGCTAATCACACAATGAGTACATCGAATTTATGTAAACTAAATTTGACCTTTGCAAGTCACAGGGATCACCAACTACAGAACCGGCATCTGCATTACCAGTTAAGCGGGCTTCAAGGCCTGCGAGGATACTGCGGTCCCCATTTGTTGTCAGGGAAGGAAAGGTACTGCGGCATGACGGTAATGTTATTATATTTGGAAATTATAAAGACCATGTTGATGAAGCTGATAAATCAGCATTCTTGGGTTGGTTTCAGAGAGGGTACAAACCCAAAAACAGGCATGTACATGTTTCTTATATTTTCAAATACACTGGTCACACAGTTACAGTATCTTGACAGTCAACTTTTGGCAACAAGAAAAAGTTTAATGAGCAAGATGACCAAATCAAACCAGCCTTTAGTATTGGCTTATACCCTGTCAGTCACAAGACATGGTTCCATCAGCTGATAAATGCAGAAACGTCTTTAAGCGGCTCGATATGGTAATGCTTATCTATCTGTTCACTACACATTTCCTTGTTAACCAGTCACACAACATTAAGAACCTCATACAATACTATGCACATACTGCTGAGCAGCCCACTGTCATAGAGTCATAACTTTTTAATGTTGTACCTAACTGTGTCCTTCATGTTCAAACAGCACATCCGCATGCTTCTACTATATTCGCCAGGTAGCAAAATTTGGGAAAGTAAAGTTAAGAGCTACAACGACGGACTCGTGGTTCCAGAACAAGATAAAAGATATATTTCCCGCTTTCCAAAAAGACCCTCAAGTTCTGTTGTCGGAGAGCAGCATGATTAAGGTTATCACAGGTCGCTTGATATCCCTAAGCACATCTTGGGCCGATGTAGACTATGTGTTCATGCCACTCCTACCCACAAACAAAGCTCACTAGATGCTAGGTCTGGTAGAATTTAGAAGCCATACTTTGATGCTGTTCAATTCAGCTGGAAAAACTTATCGTGATTGGAATGTGCTGGAAGGTATTGAACCCTATGTGAAGGTATTGTCTGCTTTTATGAAAGCGTTGGGAATTTCCAAAAAAGACCCCGATTACAACGAATCTGAATGCAAGCAAATGAAGGTGACCATTGACAGTACCCTGCCTCAGCAGACGAATGGGTAAGTATGTGACCAACTACAACAGTATAACTTGTAAATTAATTAATTCATAACATACTATAATGTGTGCTTTTACAGTCATGACTGCGGGGTGTTCGTGATATTGTATGCATCGTATATCCTCCGTGATGGCAGATGTGCTATTCCCCATAAGTTCGATGCTGCAAAATGTAGAATTGATATCGCCTCACTACTCTACAAACATCGAGAACCTTACGTGAAAAAGGCGAAGCAGGCTTTTAAAGGGGAGGGGATTGTAATAGAATGACAAATATGAAAACATTTGTAAATGAGTTTCATGCTTCAGTTGGTAGCATTTTATATTTCTTTCAAGCAATGGAGGTGTTTGTACTCAATACTATCATGTGGATGTGAATATGCTTTTGGAATACATGGGTGCCCCAACCTTCATTTGTTAATATGTTGTTGCAATACATGGATACACAGTTGTGCTTTTGGTATATGATTTATTTTTTAATGCCATGTGTAAATTAGTTCACATATCAACAGTACCAGGTCACAGATTTAATATTCCATTTGGTGGGAGTTAGTTTGGCATGAGATATGTCGATAACAGGTCACATGTGATATACATAGCAAGTCACGGATTTAGCACACATAATATATGATGCAAAGATCAGGTCACAGGTCGAACTGTACCTCGAACATTAGGTCACAGTACCATGTCACAGATTTAGTATTGCTTCTGGTCGGCGTTTCAGTTTGTCATTACATATGTTAATAACAAGTCACATAGTAAATAACAGATCACATACCTGGCCACTGATTTGGTCGTGATTTTGGTCACCGTTTTTGTTTGCCATGGCATATGTCAAGAACAGGTCACATATCAATTACAATAGCCTGCCAAGAGTTGATCACAGTTCATTTTATTTATGGAATCTGTGACCTGGACATATATTTGTTCTCCACCACGTTTAGGTCATATTTCATACCTTTAAGTGAATTAATGGTCACAATTCAAATATGTTACTATGTATGGAATCTATAATCATAAATTTACAAAACTCTATGTTCAACTGAATAAAAAGTGCAGATGTACTTCATTTATCATTTATTACCTTATTATTTAAAAATTATTTGTCAATTGATCAATTGAAACACATGTCTACGTGTTGGTATGCTAAAAAGAATTCAAGAATGCGACCTAACTTTGATAAGTCTTTATCATGTATTGACTTCCTATCAACCGTTCTTACTTAATGAGACCAAACTTGAACACCTCCTGCGGTTGTGACCATGTGCACCACAACGTCCACATCTTACTTTTGGTTTCCCTTCCCTAGATGATCTCTTCCTCTTCTCAGTAGGTCTTCCAGAACTCCGCTTTTGGTTAGGAGCTAAAACAATTTGGAATTCTACTTCATCGGGCACTCTCCACTCGTCTGGATTTCCAACAGGATATACCGAACTTTCGTAAGCATTTACATATGCATCTTTTGTGTAATAATAGGAACAGTAAGAATATGCATCCCTTTTCGTATGTGTGATTACAACCAATGCATGTGGACAAGACATCAGATCGACCTGCAGCATCCTGCAAGTGCATGTATGTTGCTCAATGTCGACAACAAATGTGGACCTTTCATCGCTCACGGAGAACACTGTTTGGTTGGAAGGAGATACCTGTGAGAGTGTAATAGCACCAATGCTATGTGTTAGTTTAAACTCAAAAAAGAATAGGTCACAGACATTCATATCTCAGTACACAATGGTATGTTCAGGTCACAGGACTTCATACTCAGGTCACAGGTTTAGCATTAGTAACAAATTATATATCACGACAAACAAAGTACATAGCGTCACATACGTAAATTAGTGGTCACTTGAAATTAATATTTGGACACATAAGCACATACGTACATTCCATGTCATAGACACCTATGATATAATCACATGCATATTTCTGTTTAGTCCACATACACAAACTTCAAGATACATAAGAACCTTACCCTCAAGTTCCTTAATTCTGAACTCATTCTCCTCATGACGTTCTCGAACTTGTTAGTCAACATCGTGAAAGTTCCATGCGTTTCGTCTCTATGTTTATAGAACAAATTTTGTACTGTTTGTATCAATGACTCCAGCAAGAATACAATGGGGTAATTCTTAGCTGCCTTTGTGACCGCATTTACTGATTCTACAATGTTTGATGTCATTGTAGAGTATTTGTTTGTCGGCATATGTATTCGTGACCACTTTTCAGGGCCTACTTCATCTTGCCAAAATATATCGTAGTATGAGAATAGTATAAAAAGATATATGTGACCACTTCACTGCATGTGATAATGCAGTGCTGTAGTCAGTACAGTACCAGGCAATCACGAATCTTATCATTCATTGCGTCTAGTTGTTGCATGTTGTATTCAAATTCTTCTAATGTGTAAGCCCGGACAGCCGAATTGAAAGCTTGCGTAATATTTTGCCCTGATTTTCCATAATATGATTTGAGATTCTACAGCAAATGGTACGAGCAGATACCATGGCAACTTTTCGAGTACACTTGTTCTATTGCTTTCTTTATACTGCCATGACGGTCCGATATAAAACACAATCCTTCTCTGTGCCCATATGCATTCTTCAGTTTCTCCAAAAACCATCTCCATGATTTGTCGTTCTCATTATCCCCTACTCCAAAGGCAAGAACAAATATGCCATTATTTGCATCCTGTGTACATGCTGTGAATAGGATACCTCCGTAATGACCATTCAAATAAGTACCGTCAACGACAATTACGGGCCTACAATGTTGCCACCCCTGTATTGATGCACCGAGTGCCATAAAACAGTACTTGAACCTATTGTGACTATCGACCTCCAACTCTGTGACCGTACCAGGATTTCTTTGTTGAACCATGTAGAAGAAACTTGGTATCCTACCGAATGATTCCGTCGGATCACCTCTAATCATCTTCAATGTTTGTTCACGAGACCTCCAAGCTTTTGAGTAATTCAAATATACTCCAAACGTATGTAGCATATCACTGCATATGTCCTTTGGTGTGTATATGGTGCCAGCCGATGTGTACTTATACTTGATGCTAGATGACACAACTGTAGCTGATACTTGTCTGTGTGACCCTAACACCACATTTGATGCACATGTGTGACTACCAATCTTTCGAATCTTAAATAGATTTGTTTTACCCCATTTTGACGATCAGCATATCCAAGTACATCCTTCATGAGAACACCTCACCACATATTCTTACTTGTCGGATCGTTCAACCATAAACTCAAACATGTTTCGTATGGTAAAAAACGATAGGCTCAATTTTAAAATATCCTTATCACGAAAAATCCTGCCTTCTTCGACTTCAATAGCATCTGCTATAGAAACAATCGTGACTTCATTGTCACAAATGTGACCTAAATGTTTACTTGATGCTTCGCAAATTTCTGTGGCCACATCCTGCAACGTATAAAGCTCACTGTTACGATAAGCATTATCTATGACCATGTCAGACGGGTACTGTATTGCTGCATCAATTATGTCAATGATTAATGGGTATTTAGCTGGATCACGATCAATTTCTTTCAACAGAATGTATGCAAGCACGTTGCTGTCATTTTTTATCCTGATTGCAGGCAAATCGTCGTTGAGTATATACTTCAATGATACTGCTACCTTGGTCGGATCCAAGCTGAACTCTGACATAATCATGTTTACAAGGTTTATATAACTGCATCCATGGTCTACCAACGCCAAAGCTGACTGAGATCCATGCAACAAACATACGTGCAAGTACACCATTTCTGCAAAATTGAACTTCAAAGCATCACATTCTCGATGGTTAATTTAATACTTATGCAATAACATGAAGTCACTATTGACACGGAAAAATGCAGGTCACATTTGGCGACACACAGGTCACATCTCATGAACAAAATTGGTTTCATTCTCTTCTCCAATTCGCTCTTCTCCAATCCGCTCACACGTTCACATATGTGACATGCGTACGGATACTGTTGTGTCGAGTGGTCATATTTTGATCAAATATTGGATCATATTTTGGTCAAACATCGGAATAGGTCACACACGGGTATGATCAGTGGTAATATAACATGTCTTACAGATAATCAAAAACAAATTGAGGTCACTCTTTTTCACAGTAGTCACATTCAATCGACCACATTTGTTTTAGTGGTCACAGACATCCACAATCGATGCTACACTTGTCTACGACTGGTTACACTCAATTAAGTCACATCTCATGCATGTTTTTCATGTCCCACTGCACAATATTATTGAATTTGAGACATATGTGGCTACGATAGATACGGACGCTGGAAATTTGCGTACAGAAGAAATTCGGAACTAATCTGATGATGCTAATTGCGAAAAAGGAAGGAGTGCAATAATCGGACCAATACTTGGATTGATTTCTGTTATGCGAAAACGTCAATTTCTCCAAGACGATCCCAAATCTGTGACACGAAAATATCAATGTCGATGAATTAGGGTTCTACAGTGTCCGGATTAAAATTACTCTGGATGTTTTATTTTTGATGATGATTTTGTAGCGGTAGAGACGTTTTATTGATGGAAACTAGGCGAGATTATAGGAAAGATACGTAACAGAAATATATATATATACATACATACATACATACATACATACATACATACATACATACATACATACCTGAGATTTGTATATATACTTTCTATACCTCAATTGCGAAATGGTGTTAAGTATACACCTTATATATGAATTTTTCCCTAAATACTATTTACCCAATACCCATAGCAATACCCATAACTGTAAACCAATACATAGGCACATTATCACAAAAAGACCCAATTAGCCCAAACCCTATTCATCGTCTTCCCCAAACTACACAATCGGCATAGAGGCAACACAGATCGTCCATGCTCATTCAATCTCGTACATGAAAGCCATCAACATACATTTGCTCTTGCTGTTGCAGATGAAATACAACAAATTTATGGAGACAAATTGTAGCCTGAGCTTGTTCCTTTAGCTATTCCTAAAAGCAGTGCTGATTCGACCACAATCTCACGTTGACGATGCCAATACCTAAATTTGTAACCTGTACCTTCCGCAGCTAAAACCAAGACCGCCATTATTCATGTCTCCAACAAATTGGGTTATTGCTCCAATTGGTCAATCAAAAGAATACAGAAACTTCTCCAAAATAACTCAAACCAAACCTAACTAGACAATTGAGCTCCAGATTGGGCTAAAAAATTATGATCCTCAGAAGGTCAAACGTTTCAGTGGGTCTATGAAGTACCTCATATCCCTCGGCCCAAGATGAAGATTTGCATGCTTGGTGATGCTTAGCATGTCGAAGAGGCAAAACTAATGGCTCTAGAATACATAAATGTGGAGGTTCTAAAAAAGTAAAACAAACATAAGAAAATTTGACCAAACGAGCGACACTAGGTTGCTCATCCAAAAACAGAAGATCAAATATACTCAATAAGACTCGATTCCCCTCGACATGAGATGTTCTCTCATTATATGGAACCAAAATCACGACTCTAAGTAAGATAGTAATCAATTACAATATTAACTAATGGTAACCTATAATTTAAATATGATAAAATAATCTATCTATATATAATACAATTATAATGATAACATATACGTTAAGCCATAATTTTCAAAGATCTCTATAATCTTATTTAACTTCATTAACAAAACTAAAGAGTCAAATTTTGCAAATAATGTTGTATAAGTGTAAACCTCATATACACCAGGTATCGATTTGTGAATAACCTGCTCAGAGGCCCACATAGCTGTGGTAATAGCCACTCTCTCAAACAATTCTAAAGCTTCATCAATTGTCTTTATGGATAAAGAACAATTGGACCTGAAGTACTTCACTGATGTCGTAATGAGGATACTTTCGAAGCATGTTCTTGAATTTGTTCCAAGTCTCATCAGAGGATTTGATTTTTCCCTACTGAAATATGGATATGTCATGCTTTAACTTCGCACTCTTTGTTGGTGGGAAGAATTTGGTGCAAAATTTTTAGTCATGGCATTCCAAGTAGTAATACTAGCAATGGACTATGACTCTAACCATTCAAGGGCTCAATCACGTAGACTATGTGAAAATAATCTAAATTTGATATCATCATTTGAAACCCCTTGACATTTAAAGTGTTGACGCATCTCCAAAAATTAAGATATGTTTGTGAGGATTTTCGTCGGCCCTGTTGTAGTATTGATGTTTATTCTGAAATAAGTGAATGACATTGGTCTTCAGTTAAAAGTTCGACTGTTCAAAGGGAGAATGTACTATGCTAGATTGGCTATGAATAATGTGTGGAGTCATGAATTCCCCAACTAACATATTTCCTTCATTGATCACTATCCATTCGTTTACAAAAATCAAATTATTTTGTGCATTAGCCATCTCTTATTATTGTATTTCTTTTCCTTCTCTTTACCTACAATGAAAGGTGCATTCGATTTCCTGATCAGTTGGTATCAGTTCACCATCTCCTAAATTTTGCATAAAATGCTTGAAAGAGAGAAAATAGAAGCACTGAAATAAATTGACAGAAAAATAAAATAAAAGCAAAAAGTTTGAATCAATCCCAAGATAAATGAAACTAAACCTAAATCCCACCAACAATGCCAAAAATTTGTTCACAAAATATCTTCCAAAATAATGATTAGGAATTTCAACTCATAAAATGACCAAAACATCTATAAATGACTGTAAATAGAGCCATTTACACAACTACAAAAGATTTGAAAATTCAACGTCCAATCATCCATTCTTTATAAAGTCACTTGTCTGGCGTAGGGTTAGCCATTCTCAGCTCAATCTTCTTTTAATTTTTCAATTGTTTCTTGAGTTTAAAAGTTTAGCTTGGATAAGATCAACAAGATGGTTATATATGGTGGGTCTCTTGTTGCGAACATCCCTTCACAAGATGGTTTCCATTTGTAATGCATTCCACAGAGTGTCAAGTGCCTAGTCATCATAATATACTCTATGAGGCGTAAGTGTTATGCCCTAGGTCTAATCAACATTGAACATAAATATTTTTAATATATAATTAATGCAATTTTATATCAAATCTATTATTTAATTAATATTTAATTAAATTAAATAACAGAGTCCGTAGATTCATATCTTAATAATTTGTTAATCACAAGGAGTTGTGATTGTGAGA